TTTGTTGCATCCAATGACTAGAAACAATAGAAAAGCAAATTAGCAATACGACCACAAACTGTTTGAACATCTAAATAAGAGATTAAGAGACTATAGAAACTGAGCGCATGCAGGATGCATGAAACAGCCATTATCTGTTTGATCAGCATCAATCATAGTGACCTAGTCTAACTTTAAATTACACAAATTTCGTTGATACGGCAGTCTTGGTGGCTTCCAGCATGGATAAACTTCTTGATTGCTCTCCATGCTGTTTTATTTCAGTGGTTAGGAACAAGAAAAGCAGCAGAGGGCTATAATTGGCAGAACCGGGGGATATACATGAAACACAAAAACAAAGAGATGTCCACATTGACTTCTGCCGCAGTAAAAACTGACATGAAAATCATTCAAATAGTGCAAGCCTTATATAAAGATAAAGCAGATAGAGAAGGCAATAACCATACAGCTAAAAGTTCAATCATGAAAAGAATCAAATATTCCCGCAGATCAGGGATGCAGGGGAGATGATGGATGTTTGATCACTTACATATTACCAATAGCATGAAGACAATAAGGATGCTGACAAAGCACCGGTCTCGCAATCGTCTCCACCTGAAGTTCTGGTTCTCACATTTAATTATGTTCTGGTTACTTATAGCTCCGCACCAGAAACACTTGAAAGCAGGTACATGTGGTGAAACAAGAACACGGAGCCCACAGCCCCAACATGTCGTTTCATGATCATCACTTACAGATGTCACATTATGCTCCTCCTACAATAGCACACCATTAAGAAACTAAGATGTTCAGTATTGATTCAAGAATGTCTAAATTGTCCAACCTCAGAGAGAAAAAAGACAGAAAATTAGTGAAATCAACTTTGAGAGAAGCTTAATGATTTTTAGTTAACGGGTGAGACTTGCTGAAATGGTTAGTTACCTCTACCAACCACAGGTAGGGCACTTCAAAAGCATTACTTCAATGATAAAAGGAAGTAGAAAAATCATGTCAACAGAGGCAAAAAAGCTATGTGATTTCCTTCCATTCACCTAAGACATGGTAGACAGATTTAGGGGTACTTATAAGAAGCTAAATTCAGTGAAATAGTTGAGGTGCTTGCAAGCTAACCAAATATAAGGTTATTAAAAAAAAAAAAAAAGAGTAGACAGAAGGTGTTAAAGTTTTATCAGAACCAAAAACAAACGAAGGAAGAAAGGAAACAAAAAGGGGATAAAAGGAATCCCCGCTATGAAGATACTCAAACACAGGCAGGCACACATACGAAAAGAAAAAGAAGATGAAATTTTGGTCAATTACCAAAAATAACAGAAAATCCACTGATCAAGTATCGTCTAATAACTTATAAGAAGGAAACAGAAATGGGTTTATTGACAAAAAATAATCGCCAACGATGAGTGAAAAATGCATGTAAGCTTACCGGAGATACATCTGAGAAAAAAAGAGATAGAAAATTAGTGAAATCAACTTTGAGAGAAGCTTTAATGCTACTGAGTTAACAAGTGAGACTTGCTTAAATGGTACGTTATCTCCACCTCCAACCATAGGTAGGGCATTTCAAAAGCAATTATTTAACAATAAAGTAGACAAATGGTATCAACCAGGGGTGGAGCTACAACCATATAAGGGTGGTCAGGCAAACACCCTTCATCAGAAAATTATATTGGTTTATATAGGTAAAATATTGTCTAATATTGGATATATAATAAATTGAACACCCTTTGACACAACAAAGGTTGGTAGTCTGGTGGTAAGTGTGCTCATTTATGTCTTCAAGGTTTGTGGTTCGATCCTCACTATTTGTATTTTTTAACACAAATTTCCTTTTACCAAAAAAAACACAGAAATAGCCCCCTACCATTTTCAACCTTAAATTTTGATTAACCTAATAATTAAGATTTTCTATTTTCTTTTCGATCTATATTAAGTGCATTATTAGGTATAACACACTCTTAACAAATTAATTAAAGATAAAATTAAAGATTATTATCCACTATTATATTTTTAATTATTTCTACACTATTCTTTTAGAAAATGTAAAATAGTTAAGAATCTTATTAAAAGAAAAAGTAAATATGGAAAAAATGTTTCAACAATTCTCTCGAACTTTGAAACATTCAGTTATGATTATCATGAAAAAAAGTCTCAACAATTCACTTAATATGAACCAAAGGAGTATATTCAACTAGAAGCTAAAATTATTTTTGTTGACTTTTGTCCATTAGTTTTGATTTATACCATTGATAGTTTTATAATTGTAAGTTTATGTATTATTTAGTTATTAAGTGATATGTAATTTAATTTTAAAATTTGGGTGCACCCACTCATCAATAAAAAAAAGTTTTGTGCACCCACTCCGCTAAAAAAAAATAATTATTGACTCTTTCAAAGTTTGAACACCCTTGGAGAAATTCCTGATTCCGCCACAGGTATCAACAGAGGCAAAAAAGCTACATGATTTTCTTCCATTTGGCCAAGTCATGGTAGTCGGTAGACAGAGTTAGACTTACAGGATTCAAAATTCAGTGAAATAGTTGAGGTGCTTGCAAGCAAGCCAAACACAAGGTTAATAAAAAAATGTAGACAAGTGGTGTAAAACTTTTATTAGAAACGAAGAAAGAAAGGAAACAAAACGGGGCAAAAGGAATATCCCTGCTATGAAATTCCAACCTTTTGTACTCAAATACAAGCACACATACCAAAAAGAAAAAGAAGACATTCTTGATCAATTACTTATGAGTAAAAGGAAGTCCACTGACCAAGCATATTAAAATGATAAGAAGGAAACAGAATCAGGGTACATACTATACAGACAAAAATGATTGCCAACGATGAGCAAAAATGCATCTAAGCATACCGGAGATACAACTTAGCCAAAAAGGATAGGAAGTTATTGAAATCAACTTTGAGAGAAGCTTAAATGTTTCTGAGTTAACGAGTGAGACTTGCTCAAATGTCAAGTTACCTCATTTACTTCTACCTCCAACCATAGATAGGGCTTTTCAAAAGCAAATACTTCAATGATAAGAGCAGATAAGTGGTAACAATAGAGGCAAAAAAGCCATGTGATTTCCTCTTATATTGCTTAACAACAACAACAACAACAACATACCCAATATAATCCCACAAGTGGAATCTGAGGAGGGTAGTTTATGGGCAAACCTTACCCTCCTTTTTGGGAGGTAGAGAGTTTGTTTCCAATAGAACCCTCGGCACGAGTAAAAGCATTTCAAAACAGTTCAAAAGATTTAAAAAAAAATCATGATTGAAGAAGCCAAGACAAAACACTAAAGAAAGCATGACAAAGCATCCTCCTCTCATATTGCTTAAGCAGGATGAAAAACTTAGTGAACTAGTTGGGCTGCACGCAAGGCAGCAAGCTAGCCAAACAAAAGTAAAATAAATAGACAAGTGGTATAGAACTTTTTCTTTTACGACGATGATGTCCACACCAGCTTTCGCACATCTCAACTAATTCTACGGCATACTTGCCACCTCCCACCAGCAATATACCAACAGGTATCAGATAACTCTCCACCAACTTTTACCCGTACAAAAAGGGAAAATACAATCGCTGCTATACAAATTCCAACCTCCTATTCTCAAACGCAGGAAAGTATACCCCACCCCATACACACAAAAATAAAAAAAGACAAAAAATTTATCAAATTACTCAAAAAAATCAGAAAAAAAATCAATTTTTTTCTCTTGATCCACTGATCAAGCATTATACAGTAATAATAATCGATAAAAAGGAAACAAAATCGGGATATATAGAAAAAAAATTGATCGTCAACGATGAGCAGAAATTCATGTAAAACATACCGGATATAGAATGTCATCATCGGCGGCGGAGGTGGAGGACCTCATCGCCGTCGTAGAGGTGGTGGCGGAGTCCGCAAAATCCATGATTCCGACCACCTTTCACGGCGTCAACCGCTGTATTACGGTTGTTGGTTCTATTTCTACCAAAATGTATAACGACATAATTTCCTTTTCAAAATTTCTTTCCGGTAATATCTATAAAAATCTTTCAATATTATAATTCAAGAAAACAACAACTTGAAAAGTCAAATATAGTGATAATAAAAATAATAGGAAATAAATGGGACAACTTGGAAATTAAAAATGTAAGGATAGAGGTAAAAGTAAGAAGACTTCTCGTTGCCTCGTCCTTAATCAGAAATCAATTGTTTTGGATTCAAATAACATTAATTATTTCGAATTTATAAAATTTTGAGTATGAAATTATTTTTATTAAGGGATGATTTCAAAAAACTAAATTAACTCATTTATTGTAAAAATATAATTCAAACACGATACTCATTAAAAAAATGTTTTATTGTTATAATAATTTATACAAATTTATTCTCTAATGTATGATTTTTTGACACAAATTTCAATTTCGTCAAGTTTTAATGTTGATATCAAACACAAATTCTAAATCATTTCAAAATTTACGTAATGGATATTTAAAGTTGGATCAATAAATTTTGAGTATAGATGATATTAACAAAAGAAAAATCAAGAGTATGACATACTAGTCAATAAAGATCATGATTTCTAAAATCTCGTGTACATACAAGACATTAAATAATTTCAAAAATATATGATATTTATTTTTATTATTAGTGACAAGTGTTACAAATTTCATACAATTAATTAAATTACGCACAAATTATTTACAATATAATTATAAAAATTATAAAAAATCTCACACTAGTTTATGACGTGTAAGGCATTCTCTTCCACCAAACTACTCTCCATATCCATTTTGCCCCACACATACAAATGAGAAAAACAAATCCCATTTATCTCTTATTCCATTTTAATTTGTTTGTTCTATTTTTTTGATATGTTTATAAAAGAAAATAATTTATTTTATTTCTATATTTTACCTAGCATATTTAAAATTATAATTTTTAATTTAATTTGATATATATTACTTTGATATATATTATATACAAATTAAAATAGGATAAACAAATTGAAACCGAAGGGTATTTGATTTCTAGTTGTGGAAGTAAAAGCAACCATAATTTAAACCTCTTATGCCTTCAACTAGCTTTTTCCGGGGCCTCACGACAACAAACTCTGCTGCTTCTACCAGGTATTTTCCTCTCCCACTTATTTATTTATTTTTGTCAATTTTATCCAATTATCTATTTTGAATCTTGATTTCTAAAGTTCCCTTCTATATTTTGTTGGAAATTTTTGATGATTTATAGAAGGGATTGTTGGAATTTTGGTTTGTTAAGTGTTTTGTAAAGAGGGGTGAAATATAGTTGTATGACAAGTTTTTTTTTTTTCTCATTATGTATCAAAAGTAAGGTATGTGCTTAGTTAAAAGATACTTGATTTGAGGGGATTTAGGGTTTGAAGTTTATGGATTCGGGATTTTAGCACTTCTTTGAGTTGTTGGGTTGTAAATTTATAGTTTGTAAATATTGAAATGGAGTAGGTGGAGCTAGAATTTAAAAGTTTTTTTTATAGCTGTGGTGTACTTCCAACTTGAGTGCTACCTCCCAATTCCCATCGACAACAGGTACATGTAGCTTCGTCCTCCAAGGCATAGACAGATAGAGAGAAATCGCCGTGTTTTTGTCTTCACTAGGATTTGAACCTGAGACCTTGTGATAAGTAGGCTAGAATATGAAGTTAATGGAATTTGAATTAACTTGTTTTATGAATTTAGTACATCGCTTGATGTACAAAATATTGGAAGTGCTCCTCGGAGAAGGTCCACGTTGATGCATTATGAAGTAGCTCTAGCTTCTTCTTCTTCTTCTTTTTTCCTTTTTTAAATATAGCTATAATGAATTATGACAACTTGATGTTGAATCAAATGATGTACACTAGCCTAGCTAAGAATAACTTGTAGCGGCTACAACATCCTACTTCATGAAAGAGCAAGAAAAATTTGGACTTTGGAGGAACAACGTTTTCCATGGTCAGTTTATGCTTATCCAGAAGGTGCAGGGGTCGGTTTCTGGTAAAACGAGCTTATCTTATACATGTTTCTTAAAGAAGCTATGGTTTCCGATCTGATTTGCCATGAACCTTATGTTTGAGCATGTGCTACCATGAACTAAGTACAGGTGTTGGACATCAAGTGTGTGTTATGGACTTATGGCATTAAAATTGTCAAAGGTTATGCATATAAAATATACGCGCAAAGTGTTGGATGGAGGCGCAAGGATACATTACAATAATAAGCACAAAAATAGATGTGTATTACATCTGCCTGGATATGTTGCTCGGACTCTCCAAAATATTGCCGCACCGGTGCCGGATTTTCCAAAAATGCACTACTTTTGAAGAGTCCGGCACGCAATCGTCGACATTTTCAGAGAGTCCGAGCAACATACATAGGGTGAATGGCTTTTGAACTCATGTATAGTTAGTGTAACCTAAAAGTAATTCTTTTCATGAGTCTATACTGAGTAGTCCAGAGTTTATTCTTGTTGAAATATCTACAACTTCAGTGCTTAAGTGCGCCTTGAAAATATTGTCATCAACTCTTGTTTACCCCTCTTTCTTTAGTTAATTCATTGCAATATACTAGCTATCTAATATCTTCTTATTATGCCTACGATTGATTAAGCAAAAACAATACTGTTTCTTCACTTAGCCATTGATGTATGGCCTAATTGCATCTTATAATTCTCTAGTTCTATATTGTTACTGGTTTTCAACATCTGGAGGTTAGATTTTCTGAATCTGCACAAAACTGTGATCGTAAAAGTTTTTGTATCCTAACATAGTGAATTGTTAAAGCTACAAATTCTCAATTACTTTAACGTAACCAACCATCTTATCACGTGCAATCTTATTGCTTTGTTTATGCTGCTACACAAATACTAGCTTAAATTTAATGTCGAGTACATATTGTGTCTTTCAAGTTAGGAATAAAAGTTCATACCTTTACATGTGTCTTCCTATGCAGTGTTTCAAAAAATTCCAAATACATTTTCCTTGGTCAGTAACTCGTGCTTTGATGCCAAATTTTCAGAATGACGAGTTCTCTGGGGACCCACCCTCGTATCTGCTCATTAGGAGGAGGTCCTGAGCATATTGTGAAGGAAAGAAGTTGCAAAATTTCATGTTTTCGTTATACAGATGTAGAATCTTCTTGGAAAGAATTGTTTCCTTCAAAAATTCAGAAGTTTAATAGCTGCCGCCACCTAAATACTCGAAAATGTTGGTCAATTTTTTCTGCTGCAACCGGTGATGCAAATGATCCGGATGACTCAGAAGATAGTAAGAATCCTCCAGAAAATGAAAATGAATCTGTAAGTGAAAATGCCTTTGCTGGTGCAATTCCATGGTTGCTACGCTATACGTGTCTATGCATGTCTCTGATTGTCTAAATGTCAAACAAGCATCCTAATTTTTAGTTTGCAGGTAAATAGTGAAATTTTAAGGGGCAATCTTGAAAGAATTGTCGGGCGGGATGACTCTGCATTTAGTGGAATAGATCTTGCAGCTCTGATAAGGAATAAATATGGAAGGTCCTATGATGTTCAATTGATTAAGAAGGTACTTGCTTTCTTTATTCTTTAATCATTATTTCGGATGTATTTATAACTTAACACTCCCTTCTATTTCAATTTGTTTTTCTTACTTTCCTTATAAGTCCGTTAAAAAGGATGTGTCTTTCCCTTTTGACAATTCTTCAATTCCAACCTTCCATGTGGCTTGTTTAAGACCATGAGATTAAAAGACATTTTGATACATTCTACATACCTTTAGTTTAAGACTACAAGATTGAAAAGGTTTCTTTTCTTTCTTAAACTCCGTGACCAAGTCAAAACCAGACAAACAAATTGAAACGGAGGGAGTATGTATTTGATTGACCGTAGAGATACATGCAACTTCTCCAAAACTTCAAACTTTCAAAAATCTATTGGTTGGTGTAATGCTATTAATAAATAAAATCGGCTTAAAATCCCATTAAAAGTGCTTCAAAATAAAGTTCTTTTGATAAGGTTTTGAGTTTTCTGTATCCACTTTAAAACCTATTACTCAAATGACTATTTCTTGTTTTTTTTTTTTTTTTTTGTATGCTCTTTTAGATCAAATTAACCAATCAAGCTGACATGAAAAAGATCGTTCAAACAATTAACTATTCCAATTGATGTTGCAAGTTTTCTTTTTGGCAGTTGGATATATAAACATTGTTTAGATGCTTAACTTGTATCTCTATATCCTCTTTATGTAGGAATTCATGGGGAAAAATCTTCTCGCGTTAAATGTTATGTGGAAATACAGGGAGCAGGTGAGCTGATCTCTTTAGCATTCGTAATGAGATCGATTGTTGTCATTAAACTATTACTACCATTTGATTTGACGAATATTTTAAAATGTTCCCCAGTGTGATACATAGTTCTCAAACATAAGTTCAGTATGTGAAGAACCATAGTTTGTTTCTCTTATACTTTCCACTTGGGAGATGTCAGCACTCTGAAGAACGCACTTCAGTATTCTCTCATCTTTTGAAAGCCGTGGCTGGATTTCCTTATTCTTCAGATACTTAAGATCTTGTTTCAAAGAGTTAATAGTCAAAAACACACCTAAAAAGTATCTCAGTTTTTCGAGTATTACACCTGAACTATTAGGTGAGCGAGCTTCCTACTTGAACTATCATCAACTATTTATATAAATACACCTCAACTATTCGATGTTCCCCTTTCCTACCTGAAATATCACCATCGTTCGGGTACACAAAGGGAATAATTGATAGTTGAGGTATGTTTTGATAAATAGTTGGTGATAGTTCAGGTAGGAAACTCGTCCACTTGATAGTTCAGGTATGAAACTCGAAAAACTTGGATATTTTAGGTGTGTGTTTGACTCTTCACTCTATATGAAACAAACCAAATAGCACCAACAAAGTTTCAGTTTGTCCTTCCCTACTTTTGTTTTCATCTTGCTTTCTCATCATGATTGGAGTTGGGCTTTTTGACGGAGCATACCAGAAGCATGATGTCACATGTGATTCTGCTGCACTTTCCTTTCTAAACCTTGTCCCCAAGTGTTTAAGAAGATGAATATACCTTTCAATTCAGAAAGAGATATAAGTTAAAGGTGATTACTTGGAATGATATTGAACGTTTAACATTAACCAAAGACCGAGAGATGAACTTAATTTAGCTTAACTAAATTCTGCTGATACACTAGATGAGATGCTAATATTAATTTTCTCGAGACAGCATGCTAACTACTGCTCTCCTGCAGCTATCTCGAATAGTTGGGGTGACTTGGTCTGTGATATTCGACATTATGTATTGATCAAATAAAGCAAACATCTGACTTAGAAATAAACTGAACTTTTGGCATTAGAAATGAGTTTTATTACTTGCCCTGATAAGTTGAAAGAAACAACTTAGTATGTTCGAGTGACCTTTTTCCCCCTTTTTTTCTGGAAAAATGATTTCAAAATCGTTTGGGATCTGTTAAAACACAAAATCACAAATTGTAACTGTTAGAATGTGTTGAAATTCAGTTTAGAATTTTAAAAAATTCTGTGATTTCCGTCTAATGTGCCTTCATGATTCTGTTTTAAAGCGATCTTTTCCGTTAACTGAAGAAGAGTACCTACTGAGGCTAGATGATGTGGCAAACACATTGAAATGTTGGGGAGCTGTTTCGCATATTCGTAATAGCCTTGAGAAGTTGAAAGAGCGGCCTCGGATAGGAAAGGTAAATTAGTTCTAGCTGATACTTGATGCTATCTTCTACTCAAAACTTTTGATTATATTAATCTCGTTACCTTCATCACTTTTTGGTTAGTATTAGTTATGCTTTATAGACAGATCAGTTATAATCTTTATTTCTTTCTTTTGGTGGATTGTGGGAAAGGGTTTGTGGGGGTGAGGGTTACCTCATCGCATTTTCCGTACACTATGACCCTGTTATCCAATGCATATCATACAGGGGTGAACCTATTGTATAAGCTACGGGTCCATCTGAACCCAATAGCTTTGATAGAATTCCGAATACAAACCCATAATTCTAATTCTAGTTCCGTCTCTGATACCATATGTAGGATACTAACAATAAAAGAGTAGTGTTATCATTGTTTTCTAGTCCTATTAAAGCTTTGCATAAACCTCTATCCTAAGCTTATAAGAATCTCGGATATTATCAGTTGTGATGTTTATGAAGCACGTAGATATATCAAATTTTGCATTACAGAGGTTGTTATGAACTTATAATGACAAATATCATGTCACTCTTGTGAATTATTCTGCCAGTCCAAACCGAAAGTTTGTCTCACTATGCTTTTGATCGTGTTCTCTCTTGTTATATACTGCAGGCAGTGAGCATTTTCATCGATATGGATGAATCCGGAGGCCGTGCAAATGAATGGATTTACAAGTAGACCAGAACATTGTAGCTCCTCAATGTTGATAGTTAGCAATACATAGGTAGATATAGTACAAAGTTGAAGAAACACTTGTATTCTTTATTAATTACTACTATTTCATTGTGCAGACACAATTTTTTATATTGTTTCCATTTGATGGCAATTACCCCCTTCTGCAGACAACAGCTTATTTATTGTCCTGCAATTGTTTATGTCTCCATAAATGTTGTGTTTTTACTTTCTTTGAGTTGAGGGTCTTTTGGTAACAACCTTTCTACGTGAAAATGTAGAGGTAGGGTCTGTGTACACTCTAATTTTCTCTGCCTCCACTTCTGAGATTATACTGAGTATGTTGTTGTTTCTCTTCTTAACATATAATATCTACCTCATAGTTATATGGCATCCCCATGTATTACGAATTTTCGTGATACTAATCCTATAATGAATGTGTAACTTGTCAATTGAACCAAACGACCCCTAATAGTAGAAATATTTTGTACTATTGAGGTTAGTGATATGATAAATTATAATTTTACTATCAAGTGATTTTGGAGAAGTGATTATGTCATGGTTACTTGGAATATAGAGTGGAGGAATTTGGGCGTGGCATGTTTCAACAACATGACATGTGTCACTTTATCAATCACACATAACTGTCATGTGACACTTGGCATGTTTATTGCGGATCGTTATGCATGATTATTATGTGTTAGAAAGTTATTTGCAAGCTGTTTGCTTGAGTTATTTGATATCTCAAAAAGTTATTACAAGGTTTTTTAGGAGTTTGTAGGAGTACTAATGAACATCCACAGAATTGGGGTGAATTAACCAAACTAGAATGAGTTGTACATTCAGCTGGAAACATGGTACTTAGTTGTTAGCATAAGTAAGTAACTGAAAGCAGAAACTCTGCCCCCAGAAGTCTTCTATCTTTACATTTCAGTCCCTTAAGAATAATATTAGTAGTTTCTAATATTACAATTAGGTTCCCTTAATATGATGATTTGTATTCTATTGTTAATTTAAATAAATACAATATTTATTTTGATTATTATTTATATTTTACTATATCGTATCATTATATTCATTATTACGTAAGGATAAAAGTCTCATTTTATATAATACTAATTGGTGTGATGGTATCGTTATCTTCTCTTCTTTTTTTATCATCTTATATTTATTTACTAATAATCATATCTTATCATTTATCCTACCTTTTACCATAATTTCGTTTCATATCCTATATATATATTTTTAGGTTTGTCCTTCAATTTTTATTTTATTTTTTTCGAAATCCTAAGATAACCCGTAACCCCTACAATCTTTATGTCACAAACTCTGCCCTTCGGAGGAACGCTCTGTGCACACTAGGTAAACACTCACTGTGTAATAGCCTGCAAACCACATATAAAATATAAGCCGCACTAGGCAAACTCTATACGATAGACTCGACTCAAAAGAACCTTCAAATTGTTGATGTTTGACATCATGTAATTATGAGAACGATACAATTCGTCCAAATATTGTATTTATTAAAATAATACAGTACGATACGGCACATTATCAAACAATACATAATCACCATCCAAACAAAGTGTAAAATCAAACTTACATGAGTTGTACATTCCTCTGGAAAGGTAGTACATAGCTGTTAGCAGCTATAATAACTGAAATCAGGAATCCAGGCCCTAGAAGTTTTCTTTCCTTACATTTCAGTCCCTTAAGAATAATATTTGTAGTTTCTACTATTACAATCAGGTCCTTTAAGAATAATATACTGTATATTCAAACTTTTTGATGAACAATTGAAGAAATTCGTCTCAATTTGCCCTAATTTTAGCTCGATTGAATTTTTGTTGAATTGGGGGATCGAATTTGATCGAATGGACCTTCTGTGTAAAGTCTATGGCGGAACCTCTGATGAAGAAGACGACAATGGTGGAATTCACCTTCAAAGACCCATTTTGCCGCCTCCAAAACGAGCCAAATTCGAGAATTTTCATCACGTTAGCAATCATTTGCCATTCTACAAGTCTAATCCAAGTGCCAATCTCCCAGCGCAAGCTTCCCTTCCAGGAAGATACATTTCTAAGAGAGAGCGAGCTGCCATGGCTTCAGTGGAGAAAGTTCCAGACCTCAGCACAACGATTTCCCCTAACAGTTCACCAGGTTTTGCAACTGCTCCCTTGCCCCTCTCTTTTTTTTTACACTTAAAATGAAAACTTGTTATGAGCTTTGTGTTTGGTTGGTGTTGAAATTTTGTAAGTTTTATGATACCCTTTTTGTTTAAAAGAAGATGATTTTTTTCAAAAGGGGATGGTTTTAGGAGTTGAGATATGGGAGTAAAGCGAGTAACAACTCAGGGTGTGTCATTGTTGTCAAACGCACACTTAACCCCCGGAGAGGGTCAAGATTCTAAAGGCATACTTTTCCTTGCCAATAAATTGAGATTTCACTTTATCATAAAAAAGATTCAATTTTTTGTTCATATATTTCTCATTCATGCTTAGAATTATTACTCTGAGACTAAACATATATATATTTGTATTGTTTCTCCCTTTGTGGCTTGTTTCATGCGTGGCTTTGTACTTACAGTCCCTACAGATCTTAGAGTTTTTTTTTGCACTTTGTTTTTGATGACATTGGGGTGTGTTCGTTATGAAGGAAAATATTTCCCATTGGAAATGTTTTTTAGGTATGAAGGAAAATGTTGCATTAAAAAGTATTTGTACATAATCTAGGCAAATACTATAGGAGGTGGGAGTGGAGATTAGGGCTATGGGTGAAGGTGAAGAATGAAGTGTGTTGGAGGGTGGGCCGTGGGGAGAATACAAATATACAATTAATGTGGAATGTCACTTGTAGAACTTGTTTTCTCTACATCCATTAGGGAAGTCATTTTCTTCATCTTTAAGGAACTTGTTTTTCTAGAGAAAGGTTTTCCAAAAGATTTACCAACCGAACATGGAAAAATTTAAAACCATTTGTTGGAAAATGCTTTCCTCCATAACAAACACACCTTTAGAGGTCCAAGTTCCAATCACAGCTGCAACAGCTAGGCATTTTGGATAGTATCTATGTTGATGTTTTCTTTAAAAAAGTGTACTTGAAGTTGAAGTGGAAAAAAATGTAGAAGTTGGAGTTATTTCTGGACATGAAGTTCACTTGGAAAGAAAAAGCTTGTTACATACACCTTCATGTCAATATTTCGATATTTCATGTGAGGTTCAATATTTTCAAATACTCATTGTCAAACTAGTATTTGCAAATACTGGGACAATACTAGAAGAATATTTTTTTTTTTTGATAAAAGTTAAAGTACAATACTAGAAGAATATTTATGCCTAAAAGGCTGAAATTTGTCATCCTTTTCCTTTTGAAGAGGGTGAATTTGACGCGAAGGGAATGGTTTAGTGCTTAATTTACAGCTGCAACAATAAGTGTGAGGGCATCTGCTCTGACCATGGCAAATAGGATTACCCCGGACCTGTGCTTGTGTGTTGTATGTAACAGGCTTGTGGATTTGTTGAGGTGCTTGCATATTGATGTAATACCACTTTCATTTTAAAAAAAAATAGTAAATAAGAAGTCAATGAATCTAAAATTTTTAATTGTTGCCAAAAAAGACCCCTTCAATTTTTCTATGCAAGGATAAATCATTTATTACTAATGAGAAGCATATTCAGAACCCTTTTATTAATCCAAAGAACTAGGGAACTGAAGAGGTCCTGGTGGAGAAGAGCAGCATCATGTAAGAGGGGAAGAAAAAAGAGGACTATCTTTGATGTTCTTTTGGCAGATTGATGCATTATTGAATGAAGATGGGCTCTTCCAGAAATTCTGTGCTGTTAGTATTGACTTATTGTTGCTTATTACAGCTGAAAACCTAATTAACCAGCCACCTTTATATTGCTGATTGCGTTATGCTTAACTATCATGTCACCAGCTTAAATTGTGAGAAACTCATGACCCAAAGTTTGTTTTGGATATAATGTTCAAAAAAAAAGTTTGTTGTGTATAAGCTTACAACTAATACAGACGGTCAGTCCTCCACTTGAGATAACTAATCCCTTCACTTAGCTGCTACCTTGTGTTAGTGGAGCTGTTTGTTAAGAATAAGAGTAACTACCCTTGTCCGAACGCTACTGTCAGTGGAAATCAAGAAGGAATCCGTAACACGATTGTCAAGTTTGCCGAATGAGTTCTCTCAAATGGAGAGCTCTTCCATTAAATAGAAAGAATTCTGTTTTACATGCCTAAAAATCTGCTATTCACACCCCTAAATATCTGATATTCCTAATTATAATATCACTAAAAATATGCTACATTAATCCCTCATATCTCCTATATATGGAAAGCAATTGACACCATCACTACACAAATATTTAGAGCTATTACATAGATATGTACAACTATTTAGAATCTGTCCAACATACTAACATCCCCCCTCAAATTGATGCCGATGAATCAAAAAGCATCAATTTGCCTACCAAAAACTGATGACACTGTCATGTCATAGATTTGTAAACACATCAGCTATTTGAAGATCACTGGATACATGTGGAAGAGTAATGACTCTCTTATCTACAACTTCTTTGATAGAATGACAATCCACTTCTATGTGTTTGGTCCTTTCATGATAAACCGGATTGGTAGCAATCTGAATGGCACTTGTGTTGTCAGCATGGAGAGGAGTGGCACTAGATTTGAGGAAATCCAATTTCTGCAAGTAAACCACGAAGCCAAACAATCTCTGAGCAAGCAGTAGACATTGCGCGATATTCAAATTCTGATGAAGATTTTGAAACACGGTCTTGCTTCTTGCTCTTCCAAGATATCAAGGAATCTCCAAGAAGCATACACCAACCCGTGAAAGAACGACGAGTATCAGGACATCTGCCCCAATCAGAATCAATGAATGCATTAAGCTGAATCGGAGAACCACTAGGAAAGAATAATCCACGAGTAGATGTTCCCAAGAGATATTGAATAATGCGACGAACAACCACCAAATGTAGATGGCGAGGAGCCTGCATAAATTGACTCACTTATTGAACTGAACTGCAAAAG